AGGGTGTTCCAACTGCGAGACAGGGAGAGATGGGGACCGGGGCTCTGTGCCTGCGGAGGGGAAGGGACAGGATGCGCTCCTGGGCCTAAATATGGTAGCAAAGTCTGACGCGCCGACAAAGCTGACTGAAGCAGCGCAGCCACAGCAACGTGTGTCAAAACCGACCGGCCCAAAGCCTGGGTGTGTGACACTACGCTGAACTTTCTGGCATCTTACTAACCAAATGTGGGCTTGTAGGGGAAAAAAAATGTAACAGCTTTTTAAAATTGGAAATATTTTTTGTATGCCTTTTATACGCTGCTTCCAATATGTCACATTTGTTCACAAATTAAGACGGGCAAAAAGAGTCAAAGTAAAACTTCAGGCTACCCAGGACCCCAGCACCTACAAAAGCATCTGTGTCTCCTTCTCTGGAGGGAATGAAACTCCAGGAAATGCGCGCACAGCACAAAGAGCCAGACTTCGCGATAATTCAAGCACAGACATTTCCACTTCACCGAGACACCTGCGGCACAGGGGCGGGGCGCTGAGCAACAGTGGTGCGCATGTGCGTGTCCCTGTTGCGTCCCAACAGGCTTCTTTCACTCCCTGCGAGCGAAGGAGGCGCACGTCTGCGTTTTCCTCCCCACACCCCCCTGCCCTACTGGGCCCTTCAGATCCCTGGGCCGCCGCCTTCTGTTTTGCTTCTCTGCTTACCTGGCACCTGTGGTCCCATGCCCTAGGAGGCACGTGTGTATTTGTTGATTTCACTTCCACGTGCCTCCTCCCAGCAAGGGAGGAAGCCCAACAGAGTACCTTGGCGGCTGCAGTGAAATCTCCACACTTGCAGGATACTGGAGGAGTCCAATTAAAAACAGCCTTTTTATTCCCCTCAGACTAAAGTTTTAAAAACTCACAAAGCAGCTGGAATTTTGGCGCAGTGGGTTAAGAGAAGCCAAGCACCCCGTGAGTCCACATTGGAGTCCCTGGCGTGCCCCTTGTGATCCAGGACTCTGTCAACACACTTGGCAAAGCAGCGGAAGGTGATCTGAGTGCTTGGGCACCAGTATCCATGTGGGAGACCTGGATGGAGATTCTGGCTCCTGGTTTCAGCCTGGCCCAGTGCCAGCCGCTATCGCTGTCCAGAAAGTGGACCAGCAGATGGAAGATGTCTTTCTCTGTTTCTCTCCCCCTCTCCATCACTCTGCATTTCAAATTTAGAATGTTGTTTGTCAGGGCTGGCTAATTTGGGGGCTTGGCAGCTTCAGCGAGGCTGCCAAAAGCCCCTCGATTTTATGAAAAGCGGGGATGCAACTCTGCATCCTCACCGCAATCGCCTGAGACCATTTAGGTTCTCAGACATGGCAGCCTGGAAAGGAGCCTCTGAAGAGCGTGTGTGTGGCAAGGTGGGCAAGGTCTTCGCAGGAATTTTAACTCTGAGCCCGTAAGACTTTCCTAACATCAAATGATTGATAAAACTCAGGACTATCATCATGTTTATGGACCAAGATGTTTACTCTCTGTAACCATTCCCATTTCTCTATGGGAATGGGACCTCTCAGATCCAACTGCTGGCCAAGCAGCCTGGGCATCACCTGGGAAGGCAGTCATACACTGTAACCCGGCTCCAGCATCCAGTAGTTGGAGAAATGCCGCTCAGAGCAGCGACACTGGCTCAGTCTGGGACCTCTTGGCCCCTTTGAACTCCTCCCTCAGTGATCTCAGCTGCATCAGGGCCGGGCCTATGTGACCTATGTGTCTATGTCCAGGCCAGGCCAGGCCAGGTTTTGCCCCCAGCTTGGGGCCTGGAGAGCCAGTAAACAGGGCTCTTTCATTGATTGCTGAACCCAGCGTGCGGCTGTGGCAGAGTTAAATAAACACTTCCCAACACTAGATCAAAGGCAGAAGCCAGGGATCTCATTAAATTCAAATGAACACCTTCAAAGGGAGCTGGGAATGGGTACGTAGCTGCTGTTGGGACTGTATTCTGCATCCTCCCTGGATGTGTCACACCAAGGCCAGTGTGAGCTCCCAAGTTCATTTCCTGTGCCCTGGCCACCCAATGGTCCTAATGCACAATGCCTCACACTGTGGTAGGGGCAGAGGACAGGAGCAAGACGCAGGCTAGAGCTCCTGACAGCCCATTCTGCAGACAAGACAACTTTTCTTTTTTAAAAAAAGACTTACTTATTCTTACTTTGAAGAAACATTTTACAGAGTCCAGAATGAGAGAGATCTTCCGTTGCTGGTTCACTTCCCAGATGGCCCAATGGCAGGTGCTAGGCCACCCAAAGCCAGGAGCTCGGAGCTCCTTTCACATGGGTTCAGGGGCCCAAGGACTTGAGCCATATTTTGGTGCATTCCCAGGCTGTAAGCAGGGAGCTGGGACATGAGCTGGGCCCCTATGGGATAGCGGACTTAAAGGCAGGTGACTAGTTAGCTATGTCACCCAGCCAGTCCCACTTTAAAACACACATACACACAATTTAGTTCAAAAAACAAAGGAATAAAGAATGAGGAGGACTGAATCTTATCTTCTGGTTCATATAGCAACAGCTATGGTTAGGCCAGGACAAAAACTAGGAACATGGAAATCCAAGCACTTGGGCATCATCTGCTGCCTGTCCAGGTACATGAGCAGAAAGCTGGATGGGAAGCAGATAGGAGGTGACAGCGACACAAGCGGTGGCTTAATTCATTGTGCCACAAAGCTGGACACTGGAAAGTGGTGTCTAGAACAGGCCAGGTGAGGCAGGCAGGGTTTGGAGCTAGTGCCTTAAAGAGCTTTTCAGAATCTGGCCCATGGGTGGGTCCTGAGAATTGGACGAGCGAACTACTTCATGTACAGTCGTCAACACATGGAAGAAAGGATTCATCATGGATTCTACAGTTCGGAGTCTTCTGAGCAGCTGCCCATCATGGTCTTGCTTCCTAGCAAGCTGTTTCCTCTCCACCTTCTCTCCTGACAGTTGTAAATACGGGCTTCTCATCACAGAAGCCACAGCACTACAGCACGTTCCTCCCACAGACCCTTCTAGACATGCAGGCAGACGACTGCTCTTGGCTCGCATGGCCAGGTACTTCCATCTGCAAAATGAATCTTGTGCAGGTGACACCAGGAGAAGACAGCTGCCTTGCAGGAGAAAATCTAGCAAAAGATGAAAGCCATCACTGTCTATTCAAGGGGCCCTTCTCTATGAAGGCGTTTCTGTACTGATGGTTTGAGACTTCAGCCTAGCAGCAATGATGGGATAGTGTAGAGGCAAAAAGGACGGGCAGCTATACTCGCTGTCCTGAATGGGCAGGGCAGTGGCAGGAGACCACAACCAACATACCCAGGACTTGACCCAGCTACATGCCATTCATCCTTCTCACATTCTGATGTGCTTATCCATGGCAGAACATTCCATTAATGCCAACCATTGCAGAATAACCTACTTACGTTTCTTAGCAGTTAAAAACTTGTTTTTCTGTATCGGAGAATATTCACCTGCATCTTCCATAAACCAAGATTCACCACGATTTCTAGGTGTAAATTTCTGACAGCTTTGATGAAATCTTCACTGGACACCTGTGTGCCGACATAGCCCGTCTTGTCCTGAGCACGAAGCAGTGTGTGTGCAACTGTCTAGTGTTGCAAGTCCCGACGGGACTTGGGGTTTACAGCTGTCCATTAGCCTTCTGCTTTCGGCTGTACGCCAAGGTCAAGATGAACTTAAATCATCTCACATGTACTTTATTTATAACCATTTCACCTTTCTCTCAACTGTTTCCCAGTACTGAATTTGTTCCTAGGGTTTCCTTTATATAGTCCATCTTCCCAGAGTTTTTTTTAAGGGGCAAGACTTCCTTTGGTCCGTAGACCGAGGTAGCTCACTTATCTAGTAAAATCATTTAGAAAGTCTATCATGTCACTATTTTTCCATTTACAACAGGAGGCGCACACTGATTAAAGTCTAGTGGTTAAGGCTGAGAGGCCTAGCTCTTAGGCTGTCTGCAGGGCCTGGAGGGTTGACACTGCTTAGTCTCCTAGTCTCCTGACTCCACCTTTCTGCTACTGCAGCCCCTGGGAGGCGGTAGCGATGGATCCTGAGTTTCGGTCCTTGCAATACAAGGGACACCTTGGTTGAGGTGCTATGGCCTGTGACCAATTGTGTCCCAGGCATCTGGCAAGCCAATCGGAAGATGCTTTTTTCTGAATCGCTTGTCAGCCTTTCTGTTAAGATCAAGTACAGAAGATGCTCACATCTCTCTCAAAGGACATCTACTAACTCACTATCAAATCTCAACTGTTCAGTCCTCACACTTCAATTTCCAATGGAACCATTTCTTATTTAAGTCAGTATTTCTACCTCAAGAGGCAGTGGCAAAATGCTTGTTAACTACGCTTACATTCTTTTAGAGAGATTAGAACAAACTATTATTTAAAAATTATGTCTCTCCTACTTTGACATTTGTGTTGAAGCTTAAGATGCTCTCTCCAATTCTTGAGTCCCCCTGCAAGGGCACAGTGGGCTGTGCTGTACGCCAGACCGCGTGACTGCCTGCCGCCAGGTGTGCCACTCCCCACCGTGGTGGGCTGCATCAGCTGCTCACCACCCAGGGATGGGAGACGGCACCCAAGGGACAGAACAACAACATAGGAGAGAGGAAAACCACATGCAGACCTCCCCAGCAAGCACAGCACAGCTGAAAACGCTGAAAAGCAAACTACATGAACACAGTTACCTCTGTGGGGGCGATTTAGGAGGCAAGATTGTAAATATAGGAATGGTAGCACAGAATTTAGCTGTATCTTTATAAAATGTTCTGGATTCGAAGACGGCAAGACACGCATCAGCACATCCAACACACAGCGTTTACAATGGTTTACATTTTCCTCTTTATTTATTCCTGGAAACTGCCCGTATTGCAGGTTTTTCATGGATGAAATATGGAACTGAGCAGATTTTCCCTTTTTTTTCTACAAAATTATGGTATAAACTTGCTTGATTTTCTATCTTATTGCTAATAAACCTTACAGGCGCACAGTTTGTAAAATAACCCCCTTAAGGACTGAATGCATAGAGCATGCCGCAAGGTACGAGAAATCAGCTAAAAAGGAGCATAGAAACCTACATCTGGACCAACACAGTACTGAATGCCGGCAAACATTTATCACGACACAGGGAAAAATGAATGAAAAGAGATACAGTTCAGTCCTGAATGGGTTAAACAGAAACCCTAATATATTATTGTTTCTAACCATCAATCCAACATCACAGTGCTTGAAAACAAAGTCAAGGGCTGGCACGGAAACTGACACATGGCTGTTCAGTACTCATCAGAAATACAGCTGCTTTCACAAAAAAAGGAGAAAAAAAAGAGCTTGGTAGATAACTGAAGAGCATTTTGTTTCAAAAAGGACCCTCATTCCCCCTGCGGATATTCTGGTTTCCATGACTAGTCAGGTTTAGTTCTCAAAAACAGTGTTGGAGAAGCTCCATGGGGGCACAGCTGGTACTAGTTTCATTAAAAACAAAAGCAAATCAACCAGTTAGGACTCCCCAAGGAATTCATGTCCCCATGATGGCTGTAGGTGCCAGTTTAAGAAAAGTCAGCAGCAGGTTAAATGTTAGACTAGTGTTCAACTGTGAAATCATTCAAAATATAAAGGGCATTTTACAATAAAACTCCTCAGTCTGATAAATGTAATGGGCTCCATGGACTGGATCACAGCTCAGCATTCATGTACATTTGTAGAAATTGCATAGAATCATGAGAGCCCAAGACACCTTTCTGAAATCGCATTCTTCAAAATGTCAAACACCCTCCACTTTCACCTCTGTGCACACTGATCTCAGAGTCTCCGTGAGCGTGAACAACTGGCACCTCATGTCTCCCCGTGGGCTGGAGACAACACGTCCCACTGCAGCCGGAGGACCAGGTGCCTCCACACTACACGCTGGAAACTGACCCCAGGACCACCGGAAACGTCTCCTCTTCTGTTTTCAAGCAGCTGACAAAAGAACTACTGACAAACAACAGACTATCACAGACCTATCATTTCACTCTTCAGTCTCTGGTAAGAAAATGGCAAAAAATTGGTGGGGAAAATGGACATTTCAGAAAAAAAAAAACAAAACAAGGGTGTGAAGGGTGTGTGTGTATTTGCTGTCAATTGTCTGATTACAAAGGAACAAAGAACCAAAATAAGATACAACCATTTGGAAAAGCCAAAGTTCATTTTGATAAATCCATGACTTTGAAAAAATCACTTTGAGCTACAAAGCTGGGTAACGAAGTTTGTTCTTCCAAAGCTTCTCCTTTGTAATCAGTTAATTTCATAACATTCCTTAACTAACCATCAATAAGAAGTGGAGGATTAAAAGTGGCCCGCTGAAAGTAAAGCAGCATGGAAAATACCTTTACACCCAGAATAACAAAGCACTCTGCAGTAATTACTTCCCATGACGCAACAGAGAAAATAAATACTACCCAGAAATAAGCAAGTTTGCAAGTCAAAGCGAGTGAACAGTTACAACAAAGAAAGATAAGGCCACAATGAGCTCTGCCCTTGATCACAGATTTAAGGTGTGAGGCAGGATTAATTTACAAGAGAGGAGTGAGTGACTGGAGCAGATCGGAAAGGCTATATACATACACACAGATATTTACATATAGTATAGTGCAGCCTGGGGTGATTAAAGGCTTTCTTTCAATAAGAGGAAACCCCAATAACATTGATTTAACCACCTCGTGTGTTTTACAAAGGACTTTCCCCTTGAAAAGCAAGGACAAGGCAATTTAAGGATGTTTGGAACAGTATTTACAGTGGCATAGTCTAAGCACAGAGTAATGAAGACTGCAAAGCAGGAAAACAGGCTCCTTGTATTTAAAAAGCCTAACGATGGAAACTTCTTAGTAGTGGCCCAGGACACCAGAAAGACACCAGGAACGCTGCAGGAAGTCACAGTTTTGCACTCACAAGGTACTTGTGGCTCCTGTTTTATGGGACAGTAAAAGCTTACCACAATCCAGAGGTAGTTTTTACTCTAAGGATGATTGTATCTTTGCCTGTGTCCTCAACACATTGCACACAGGGCTCCTGTACTCAGGTACTCCGACGAGTCTGCTGCAGTTGCTAAGAAGCTGAACAAAGGCGTAACCAAAGTGCAGGAATGGCAGCAGCATCAGGCTGGCCAGACGAGCATGTGAGCCAACACAGCCCTGAACACTCAATCACGTCTTAACACATTTTTCCTTTTTTTTTTTTTTTTCTGAGCAGGAGACATTTGTGGAGATGCCCAGTACCGGGGAGGAGACCAAAATAGGCATGGGGAGAAATAGAAACATAAGTTACATTTGCATTTTATGATCTTGCAATGACCTGCTTCTAAAGTACTGTCTTTCAGCTATTTTAGTTTATCACCTAATAAAAGCATCTTCTGTTTAAAGATTACAATGATGATTTGGATTAGGCTACCAAACAAGAAAAAAAAAAAAAAAGAGGCAAAGGTAATAAAGCATGCTTTTGTTGAAATTTTCCACATTCTACCATAAGGGTGTCATTATCAATTGATAGCAAATAATTCTCATGATATATTCTTTTTTTTCCATTTGTCAACAAGGCAGAAAAAGACCCTGCTGAACGAAATCATTGGGAACATTCCATGTTCAAAATAAAATGTTTAACTTACACATAATACAAGTTATGTACAATATCGGGGCGGAGGAGGACCTGAACACGTCCCGGCACGTACAGATGCACTTACGCACAGGGAAGGGGGGCCAACACTTCAAACACCGACACTTTCTGCGCCATTAGCTCATTAACTAAATGGCCACATGGGATTCCACACCAACGTTAAAACTTCTTGGATTACCACTATAAATACAATTTCTTTGTAAAAAAAGGAAAACATAGAAGAACTCCCAGCAGTGTCTGAGGACAGAGACCAAGTTCACGTCCATTGCGTGTAGGCAGGCAAGGCAGAGGCATCTCTTTTAAAGCTTTTGCACAGACTTCATTTAATCTTTTAAAAAAAAAATATGCAGACTTTTGAAGATGTGACTTGCTGAAATTTAAACAATTTCAACTCACGGAAAGTCATTAAGACGTCAGCATAAAAAAGGAAAAAAGAAAAGTTCCAGCCTTGGACCAAAGCGACCTGGCATCGGGTAACTGGATGAAGCAGTGCGGTCGGGCTTGGAGCCGGGCTGTACTTCAGAGCAAAGCTCCAAAGGGCAGGGAGAAGAGCCTATTTGGTAACAAGGTGTACTATATACTGCGATATAAAAAAAGGTATGGTGAAAAGGTACCTTTTACTAAAGCTTATACAAGTTCCTTGGTCCGTAAAAACTATGTTAGATTTGTGCCTTCTAGTTTGCTTAACTTTTATTCCAGCCACATATCTATTTCTTGCCCATTTAAACAAAACTGACCAAACAACAACAGAGAAACAACAAAGACCAAAAAAATAAAAACAAAACAAAACAAAAAACAGCTGAAAATTCAACTCCAATGCTTTGTACATTTAGCTGTTGTTTTCGTTTGACGGTGGCTTCTGTGTTTCCAATCAGCACTTGCAAGTAACAGGCAGGGGCTTTCTATAGTATCACCTGGTATGAAAAGTTTTCCCAAGAAACCACAAGAGATTGTTCATTTTTTTTTTTTCTCTTTCCTTTTTCTGTCAACTTTCGGCCACACTCCAGTCAGTTTAGGTCCCAGCAAAAAGACGGTGGTTAGGATAGCACCGTGGCTGCGGATGACGCTGTGACGCTGGTTGAATTTGTACTGGTGTTTGTGTAACTGCCCTCGCTGTTTGTGCTGGGCTCGCTGGGGGGCACTTGGCTGGAGTTGGCTCGAAGGATGGCTCCCGCGGCGCTGCAGTGTGGCCGGGGCCCTGGTTCTGGGGTGTAGGTAAAGGTAAGGCTGGTGGAATAAATGATTCCATCATTACGAACCAAAGTTACTGGAACTTGGACTGGCTGCCGGACCCACCTCCAACCTTCTCGGAATGCAGAAATGTCTGGGACAACACAGAGCATGCTCTCTCCACATCTGAGGAGGAAAAAGAAATCATGCACAGGCTACTTTCAGACAGCAAAGTTATTTTAGAAATGATACTTAACAGAAGCTTGTCTGACGTAATACAACCAATGCCAGGAAAGAACCCCAGTTCCCAGAACCCCTCCCCCGATGCAGGCAGGACAAGTTGTACAAGTACCTGTACATCGTTTCGGCTTCCACATCCCCAAACCACACTCGTAAATTTGGAGTGAAATTCTGTCCTGTGAGTTCAAGCATCGCCACGTCCCCTCCACCATTCAGCTGCAATTCACACAAAAAATCACGCCACTGAGATAAAACTTCATTTGTCATTAAAGTACAGCAACCACATCCTCATGCAACTTTCACTTCATCTGCGAAAGCTTGTAAAGGATTACAGCAGAGAAATGTTTAAGTAGCATTATTACAAAGTTAGCTAGAAACACTTCATGGCAAAACGCCACGGTCATTTACATTTGCATTGTCGGGAATGCCAGTTCCTTCCCTCCTATTTTGCTTTTCATAATTGATGTATAACAAGACTTCTGTATCACAGGATTTGGAGGAAAAGTCAGAATTACTATGAGATAAAATCATGCTAGGTCCCAGTGAAGAACGGCTACGTGAGCTAAAAGCCAGTATGTGACTTAAGTGGCCTTACCTGGAGACTTTCCACAACAGGCACAGGGGTGACAGGGGCAAGGACGGGGCCCATTCCCTCGTAAAAGGTGTACTCCGCCTTGTCTGTGCTAATGATTGTCCAGGAAGCTCCGTCATTGATCATTTCTTTATTTGGTTCTTTTGGACATGGAGTGGCCTTATGAGAAAAGAAAATTTGCAAACTGAGTTTTATGTACATTGCAGTTTAACATTCACAGACTAAGGCCAACAAACAGAGGATTTAGTAAAAATTCATAAACTTCCTAAAGCCTGATGCTTCACTATTATAATAAATGTAAACAGAATGTTAATAGAGAAAGCCCACAGACAGCAGTTTTATTATGACACAGTCTTTCAGAGACATATTAAACAGCTAACACTATCTTCTGGAGTAACATGAGTGTAATACTGTGGGAGAAAGTTCATTAACAGAATATCAATATCTGTGACATAAGCAGATATATAAAAGCCTTTAGGCTCCTCTACAAAACAAGAATGGGAATCCCTACACTGACAGAGCAGCTAAGGAAGGAGCTGACTTCTGACTTGCAGTCCCAGGGACCCAGATCTGCTGTCAGGGTGCGTGCGGCCACCTCTCTGGAACACGAGCTTCACATGAAACCACAACCACCGTTCCATCACCTACGTGATCATAAAAGCCCTCAAGGAAACTGTTCTCAGATGAGGGTCAGGTTCACTTCTGAAGCTCATCAGGACGCCCCCAGGAGACCCAGGGCAAACATGATCCAGGCTAAGCTCTCAGAAGTGTTCCAGGCACTCAGACACAGTACAGGCCTCACCCTGTACTCAGCACAACACTGCCACAGGCCTTACCTGGTACTCTTAAGTCTGTCTGGGATATTCGGAGGGGCTGTTTCCAAGATTTAGAACCTTGGCACTAGGTGTTAACTATTCCCTGGAGAGCATTTCCCTCCCTTCTGAATTCTTCCAGGGGCAGGATGGCAAGGCCACTGGAGAACCCTGCCCATGCAGGATCCTGAGACCCAAGAGTGAGATCTGAAGGAAGCTTCACACACTCAGACGCTGCTCACCTGATCGCCTGTCCATCTGCAATTAAGACATACCTGAAACTGGATTATTCTTTCTTGAGAAAGGCACAAGTACATTCTTTCTGTATCCTTCAGGTAGAATGCGCACTTATGGAGTTGAGACACAGGATCATCTGCATCCAGCAAAGCCGTCTGCTTATCAACCTTCCTAATTATCTGTATTTTAACAATGAAAGAATAAAAGGTCATCACATGCGAGTTTTTCCTTTTGCACAGTCAAGAACACACAGTAAGTACACAGTATATGATGATACCTGACAGTATTCACACATCGGCAAACAACAAGGAGAGGAAGATGAGTACTCTTAGTTTGCAAGCAGGTTAGAATGGGCAGAGTGCCCTCTCCCATGAATATCTCTAAGCTGCAGGGAGAGAGCTGTTCTTAGACTAGCGCTTTCCAAATGCTGCTGTGCACACAGAACATCCGGGGCTTCGCGGGCTCCAGGCAGCCTGCTGTCTGCACTGCCCCCAAGTCTCAGGTGATGTGAAACTGCTGCACACGGGCCACGTCTTCAGTGCTGATCTATCCAAAAACATGTAATGGCAAATGTTCCAACATCAAAAGTAAAAGGCCTAATAGGTTACTGTTTTCCACTTCTCATGTATTTGAAAACTTAACTGAAATAATTTTACAGATTAGGAAAGGGATTCAAAGAGGTTAAGTCAAATTGCTTCAGTGCCCAGACAGGTAGCTGAAGGACCAGGAAGCTGATCCCAGGAAGGCTGTCCACTCAGCCTGATTCTCCAACACATTCTATAGTTCTGAATTCCAGAATCCAGGGCAGGTGCTGCGGCTTAGCAAGTTGAGCCATCACCCAGGCTTCCACTTCATAAGGAAGTGTCTGATTTGGAGTCCAGGCTACGTTCCTCGGATACAGCTTGATTCTAACAATGTTCACAGGAGGCAGATGATGAATGGCCAGGGTTTAACTGACAGCTATTCTTTTGTTGTAATGTTATCCACTAGTTAGTTATTTCTTCGGCCCTAAGCTTTCATGGTGCCTGCCACATCTGCTGTCCAACCACATGTTCTGTATAACACTATACAAAACCAACTTCATTAAAGTCTTCCCCTCAGGCCCCTTCAGCTGTTGGACACACTGCTTTGTCAATAGCTTCCATCAGGTGGTCCACTTCCGAAGATGCTGCACAGGCCCTGGTCTTGGTGTCCCCTGTGATGTCATGGCTGTGTTTGCAATCTTCTTCCATCCTGAGTACCAGGAGCAGACACGTACTTAGCAGCTCAGGAAGCTTCTTTCTGTATTCCAAACATATTTTTAGAGAACTGCTCTGAAACTGGCTGTAGTTTTATCTTCTGCCAACTAATTGGCCTAAATATTTTTGAGTAATTCTTTCTTATAACTTTGAGAAGACTGCTTTTTAAAACATCTCATGGGAAATATTCATCTTCTCAGAGTCAAGCCCCCCTTGAATGAAATCCAGATGTAAGTTCAGCTCCTCACAGCCACAAGGAAAGACTTGTGCACTCACACCTTCACGTTTTAATATTTATCTTGTATTCTCTTCTTCATTTATTTGGGTCTAGCACCCTCCCAAGATGTGTGCTTCATGAGAAAGGAAATATGCTTTGTTTATCCGTGTCTCTCCAACACTCAGATGCACCTAGCATGAAGAAGGTGATGCAAGAACCACCTTGCAGCCAAGGAATTCTTGGTGCCACAGTTCTTAACAGTAACCACCCACGGGGGGGCGGAGGGGGGAGGGGAGGGCTGTGAGGGTGAAACGCAGCATGGTGTATCAATATTGTGAAATGCTACAATTTGAGTATTCCTATTTCAAGTATTTGAACTGCTTCAAAATCTTAAACTTTCTAAGCATCAAACTATTACAATGTTCCAAAAAGTTTGGGATTTTAGAGCAGTTCAGATTTCTAAACCAGAGGCCCAATCGATAGTCTATCCCAATGTCCTCATATCTGAAAGCCTCTTGAACTCTGAAAGTTCTGGCCAAACATTTCAGATGAAGGATATTCAAACTGTATTGAGGCTTACCATATGATTCATGCCTCACTTACTGGTTGTTTGTTTTCTTTAGCTCAACTAAAACTGTCTAAACCTCCCATCTTTAAATGTGCTATTCACATTCACAAATTTATCCCTATCATTGCTTAGAATTACCACCCAGCTAGTGCTGTAGTGTGGCACATTAACGCCACCGCCTGCAACACAAGTACGTGGGTGCCACTTCCAGTTCTCACTCCTCTACTTCCAATCACACGTGCTTGGGCCCCTGTCACCCAAGTGAGAGAGGCAGGTGGAACTTCTAACTCCTGGCTTTGGCCTGGTCTTGCCAGGGCCCTTGTTGCCATCTGGGGAGCGAACCAGAGGATAGAAGATATCCAACTGCCCCATGCCATGCAAGTCTGGCTTTCAAATAAACAAGCGAAACTTCTGTTTTAAAAAATAATTTTTGTCAATCTACTAAAAACATTAATTTTAAACTTTAAGATGAAGACAATTCATTTTGAACAAGTATGGATTCTATAACAATCTGTGAGATTAACTGAACTCAAATATTCCAATTCAGTACTAAAGCCTTAAAGCTGTATTTATATTCAGTAAAATTTGAATTTTAGAGAAATAATTTATTTTTAAACATTATAATCCTGGGGGCTGGCACTTTGGCATAGCGGGTAAAGCTGTCACTTATGAGCTTAAGTCACAGCTGCTCTGCTTCCAATAAAGCTTTACTGATAATGTGCTTTGGAAGCAGTAGAGGATGGCTTAGTGCTTGGCCCCTCCCACAACACAGAAGACCCAGAAGGCCCTATACCCAGAAGAAGCCCCTAGCTACTGCCTTCAGATGGCCAGCTCCACCTGCTGTAGCCATTGGAGAGTAGACCAGCTTAGCAGATGAAAGATTCTGTCTTCCCTCTCTGAAACTCTTTCTTACAAATAAACAGTTAAAACTTTAAAAAAATTATAAGTCTAACTAATGTTTCCTTAATTTTTATAGTTCTCACATGTTTACACCATGTAAGAGTCATGAATTCTTTTTAGAGCTACTACTTGTGTGCCTCACGGTTTTTATACCAGCTGGTAATAATAAGCAGATTCACAGGTCATGGTTTTCATTTTTCATAACAGCTCTTGCTTTGATGACTTCTAATTACTAAGAAAAGAAAAAAAGAAATCTGAGAAAAAAGGTAGCATGAACTCATTGTAATTGAAGCTGTACATATGAACTGTCAGAAAACATCAGGGGTTACTCCACCTGGCCCAGCGTCCTCTAAGTTGACCTTGTAAACTGCTGGTATTTTATTTCCCAAATTGCTGAGATTAAATGAACAAGAAAATTTCTTATTCATATTCTTATCTGTACCTGCTACAGGTATAGCAAGTATTGGCTGAGTCATACCATGGGTTGCTCATCAGCTAGAGACCGAACAGTGGGCAAAGGTTACTAGGCGTGACAGGAGGCGAAGTAGAACAGTGACAGATCTCAGCTGGCCCAGCCCCTAGTCCTGACAGTGTTGATGAACATGTGGGGCCAACAGCTAACTGGTTCCCAGTCAGCGGCGAGGTCGGCTTGTAGACTTTGAGGGAAGGAACCTTAAGAGACAGAGTTTGTTTGTTTGTTTTTTACTGGGGCATTCAGCTCCCTGAATCCTGGGCTTTGGGAGTTAGTATGCCTCAAGCTAGGCTCTCCAGTGAGGGGACATTCAGGAGAGTAGCTTTCAGAAAATCAGGGTTGAAAGCACCTTTTTAGAAAGGATAGGAAAGGGAAAACGTACTATCAAAGGGAGTGGAAGTGACTAAAGAAGTGGTATAGACATCTAAAGTCCACCCAGGATCTTGAGGACACTATTCAGAGTTTTGCAGTCTTGGCACTGCTAGGAGTCTATTTAGCAACATGTTGGTGATACCACAACTTTTTCTAACATATCCTCAAAGTTAAGTTTTTATTGTATCATTTTTACAGTGACCGGCACATATTTTTCAGCATAACGCTTCAACTAAAGAAAAAGTCACTTCAGGCATGGCATTTGACATGAAATCGTAAGTGGAAACAATGTTGTCAAGACTTGAGTCTCTATGCTCCAGGGTTCACAGGTGAGCTCTTGCTGACAGAAGCACACACCTGTGAAGCCCAGCTTCTGCAGCACCAGTGTTTATTTGCATACACACACCTGACACCAGGAGTAGAGCCACACACAAGAAGAATAAAGGAAGCACTGACTTGCTTGCCTTCTATTTTTTCACACTCTTCCTAACCATGACAGGAAAAGCAGGGGAAAAGGCAAAACAATAGAAACTAGGAAAATACATTCCTTTAGCCAGTTATGGATCAATCCAGTCTCTGGGTGAAACAGCTGCAGAAATAAAGGTCAATGAAACACTTCACCAAACATAAATATGTAGAATGTTCTCCCACTTTCCCCCTCAACTTGATTTTGACTCAGATTTACCGATCAATTCTCTTGCACCTTTAATATAAATAAATAAGGGAGGAAACTGGGGGAAAAGGTAAGAGTGCAATAAATTTTCACTTTAACTTCTTAATTAAAAAAAAAAAATTCCAAGCCTCCCTCAAAATAAGAAATAGCAACTTACTTGTTTGTGAGAGTAAGTTAAAGAAGACCTTAAAAAATAAGAATTTCTACACTTTTACAAACCTGGTGTTATATTAGAATACAACAGTTATCACAGTAAGTGAAGACAGTGTATCTGTGTTAGTGAAGCAAGCAAGCACAGTGTAGATTACAGTACCGGCTGTGGAGCATGTTCAGACAGACAAGCACAAAGGAAACTCCTAGCAACATGTTTGCAACAGTAAGTTATTAAGAAAGTACTCACTCCCAGCTGTAGGGAATGGCCCAGATTGTATGGTACCTAGGTAAGTGTTACACTGTTGGGAGAAAAGCAGCTAATAGCTGCTGGGCACCCTGGGCCTGGTAAATGCCAAATTTGTGTTAACTATACCAGAGTGCCAACATTGTCGCCTCTTCCAATTTTTTTTAAATGTGTGGAGGACAGACAGGAGTGTGCCAACCACAGGGTCTGGGTCCTGGTGTGGGCGATGGGTAGGCAGGCAGGGACCAAGGTTGGCACAGCACACTGCCAGAGGATCAGACGTTGTGGGCTGTGGATTGTTCAGGGAAGTGGGTCTGAGGATGTGTGAGAGGGAGGACAGCTGAGGGAGATGCGACAGGTGAGGAGTGACTTCTGGTAGACGTCCACCAACCTGGTTACTACACTTACAGTTAAATGAGGGGGATGAGACTGAGTGGTTTAGAGGAGCAAAACCGGAGGCTCTTTTGGGGACTCCCAAATACACCCACCTACATATAAGACCTGAGCTAGGATCGTTGGTAGTAACCACCACCTACCAGTAAACACAAAAGTCATGGCGGGGGTGGAGGGGTGGCATGCCTGGCAGGGCTCAATCATAGTACCTGTCAATGAATGTTGGAGCATAGGGTGGACCATGTTATGCTGGGTCATGACATTAGCCAGATCATGAGAAAACCAGGTCTGGGAGCAGATTTTGTGGGGATCATGTGCTCACCCCTATGGGACTGCCATCAACTGGTTTGCTCAAGGGCTGGGGTGGTGTCAGGCTGAACTGGGCACGACCAAGAAACTCAACACTCATGGGTACTGGGGTTGGGAACAGGCTGGGCTGGTCCAAGCTGTAGCACCCACACGCACAACCAAGAATCAGGTGTGGAGTGGGCAAGGCTGCAACATCTACCAGGGCACACCAACGCCAAGAAAGACTGAGGGCAGACTGCAGGTAAAGGGGCTAGCACCTGTTGCCATACCTAGGACCTGAGTCTTAGAGTGGGAACTCTCCTGTGGACCAATGTGCCGGCTGATGAGCATGTGTGTCAGGGCTGGCTATTGGCCTGGCCCGGTATGGCTGCTTTACTTCTTGGCAGGTGGGTTGGTGCTGGGACAGAGTTGGGGGAGGGAGGTTGCCAGGCAGGGCTAGATTAAACCATAGCACATTAGCATGCACAGGAGACAGGAAGGGGTGCAGCTTAGGTTAGGGTATCACACCTAATGGTCTACATGAAACCCAGGGATGGAGGCAGACTGGGTAGGGTTAGGCTGCAGAACCCACCAGTGAGAGTTGGAACTGCGGGCAAGCCAGGTGAGGCCAGACTACAGCATCTGATGGCAAAGGCCAAGCTAGGCGATAGGTTATGCTGGGATGGATCATGGCAACCACTGGTACACACAAGATCTGTGGCTGCGAGTGAGCTGGTTGGGGAGCTAAGGAGACACCAGTGCAGGGCTCAGGTTTCCATGAGTGATCCTCATCAGAGTTGGAATGGGGGTGGCAATCTGGGCTGGACATGGCTGCAGCATTCCTTGGCATAGGTGTGTACTGGGCCTGAGTGGTGCCAGACTGGACTAGGTCTCTGCTCCTGCTGAACCATGTGAGAGAGCTGGGTCTGTAGGTAGATTAGGCAGGGCCAGGCTGTAGTATCCAACAGTAAAAGCCAGAACAGGACATAGGCCAAGTCAGGCTGGGCCAAGAACCCACTGGTGTGCGTGAGATCTGTCACTGGAAGGTAAGCAGCCCAGACCAAACCAGGCTATAGTACGAGCTGGCATACATGCAGGTCAGGTCTCAGGGCAGGCCAGGCTGGCCAGTTCATAACACCTACCAGCAGATCTAAGAAAGGGTAAGATCCAGGATGAGGAATGGTCCAGTGGGGAAACCTTGAGTACCTCTGTTGGGCTGTAACTACCACTGGTGAGTGTGAAAATCAGAGCAGGGGGAAAGTCTGGTTAGATAGGCAATGGCACCGCCAGCATGAGTGTGGACTGAATAGTGCATTCAGTTGGGTTGAGCTAAGATCCAACGCCCATTGATGTGTGTAAGAGCTGAAGGGGTTGTGGGACAAATTGAACCAGTCTGCTGTACATACCAGCATGCACAGGAACCAGAACTGGGGACAGGCCTGGTGGGAGTTGCAGGGGGTCACTCCGACTAAGCTGCAGTGCTTGCTGGTGTGCTTGAGGGCTGAGTGTGTGGTGGGCCACACCATAATTAGTATGTGTATGGGATGGGGCTGGGGACAGAACTGGCCACAGGTGACTGTAACCACCAGTGTGTGTAGGCTGATGTGGGTGATGGACAGAGCCAGACCCCGCCCTGACTGACACACACGGGAGTCAGATTGGGGTCATCTTTAGTGAGACCTCTTTCAGGACACTCCCCCTACCCGCCTGGTCAACTGGATCACTAAACTCAGAACTCCAACCACAGTGAAAAATCACAGGATCTGTGGTCAGACCATGAAGTGCTTGTGTTAGAATTGGGTCCCTATGGTTATTGAGGCCTGGGCAGTGAACGCCATGCCCAAATGCTCACGGGGGACATGACAACCAGTTTACTGAGGCCTACAGAAGACATCCAGTACCATGGAGGGCAGAATAGATTGGATAGCTCCCCTGGACAAGTAACTGGGCATAAGATGGATTGTCAGCCAACGGACCTTGGAAGGATTTCCCCAGTCTTGGAGCAATGAAATCAATAGCATCTCAGAATTACCCAAACCACCTAAGCAATATCCTTGAAACATGCTCCATGTCAGAAACCCTGGGATGACATCGGGTGGCCATCCCCCATTCCTGCGTACTGATGTGGTTGGGCTGCTGGGAATGGCCCTGCCCCTTCACTCTACTTTCCACAGATACCAGAAGAAAAAGAGGAGGTTGGAGGCAGTTGTCTCATCTACTTTCCCCCATTCTTCAACTCTCCCCATCCTAACTGGCAGTCAATAAGGGCATGCATTCCTCTCAACTTTGTCAACTATGTAAAAAATCATAAAAAATAAAATTAATTTATCATTAAAAAATCAATAATAATTTTTCAAAAAAGAAAGTACTCAAAAAAATAAAAACTGGCTGATTACCTTAAAGCATTTCCAAAATAAGGTAGGGTACTCTTGCTAATCATAGATAGCATAGATTACTAATATAAGCTTTTAAATTAAAAATCCTGAAAATGAGCTGTATCTTTCTATTCCAGTGTCACCAATTCCCTGTTCTAAGAATCAATTATTCCACATTTCACTAAAGCAGAAGGAGAGCCATACCAATCTTGGGAGTGCCATGCCAGTCACAGAACACACGAGTTTGACCGTTTGTCCATAATGGATGTAGCCATCTCGGACGGTGAATTCCTCCCCTTCTGATTCATCATCATCCACTGTGGTGGGTGGACAAAGAGATCAACTTATTATTTATAGAATTCATTACTGTTTAGGAAAATAACAAAGATTAATACAACCCTATATTTTATTATCAACAACTGCACAGTAAAAATACTATGCGCACATATACTCACAGAGATGGATGTAAAATGCTCCCCACTGCTGGGAACTGGCGTGGAAGTTGCCTCCTTCTACATGCAAGTATCTGGTACTGACAGTCTGGGACCGAAGCCGATTAAACAGAGCCACCTTTGTTCCTGAGGCAATGCACACTGCAAAGAAACACAGCTTCTGTGGACAAGCTCGGGGTAGGTGGCCAGGAAAGGGGCTCTTCTGCTGGCCAAGTGACACTTGCTCTTCACCACGATTTAATAATTAACAGATTCTGACAACTAACAACTTAAACCTCCCAGGAAGTGCAGATGCTATCAGAAAGACAGAAGGACACGGATCTATCCGTGAGTCATTTTGAAATGACAGCTGAACAGGATGCTCAATGTAGTACTGATCACCGGCAAGGAAATCACTTTAAAAATATTAAATAACTGATGAGAGGAATTTGCCTAAATAAATTCTAAAAGCGTACACCCACTTAAATGATGCGTCTCTAAATGCACGGATAAGTACTATTTCCCTGGGATATCATCAGAACATTTCGTGAACCTCGATTCTAGTTGGCAAAGACGTATAGTGTTCCATGTAACTTGCACTGAATATGTGGGCATAGAAGAGTACAAAAGTATTTGGTGGCAACTGTGTCTACATACTATGGTTTTAGAAAAACTAAAACTAAAACTTTTACGTAAACACCAAGCATTGTATATATGAATTTTGGGGAAAAGAGGCAGACGGGGGAAAAAAATCTTAAATTGAAATAGTTCTCTGCCATTAAGAACCACACAAGAATTTGGGGTGGGCATTTCACACAGCAGCTAAAATGCCACTGGGGAGTGGGGGGGCCCACAGCCCACATCAGCTTGCCTAAGTTTCAGTTCTGGCTCTGCTTCCAGTTCTACCATTCCACTAGTGTAAATCCCACGAGGCAGCAGTGCCAGCTGAGATGGTTAGCTTCTTTCTACCCACATGGCTAACACTAGACAAGAGTGCCAGCCAGGTTCCAAGCTTCAGCACTGCCAGGCTCGACTGCTGTCAGCATTTGTGGAGGGAACCAGAGGAATAAAGATCAAAAACAAAAACCCTTAATTAAAAAAAAATCAAACAAACAAACAAAAAAAACAAGTTCAAGGGCTTGGGCCCCTGCTACCGACACAGCAGAACAGGCTGGGGTTCCTACAGATTTGATCTGGCCCAGCACTAAGTCTTGTAGGCATTGAAAAATGAGTCAGCAGAGAAATCATCTCTCTCCGTCTTTCAAGTAGATCAAAATAATTTTTTTTGAAAGTTTTTATTCAGGATCCTAGGATGGCCTTTTAAAACCCTCTTGGTACAGAGCTTTCTAGGTGGTACTTTCTACATTCTGAATACATGAATTCGTTTGGAATGGAAACCGACTTGGAGACTGCTTGACTGTTAACATCAAAGACTCAAGATATCTCATGCCGATCAATATCCCCAGCCATATCCAATCACTATACTGAAGTGGCTCTAATGAAGTTGCTGTCCATTTTCAATTTTTAAAATGTCACATACACACAAAGCCAATTATGGATAAACTAGCTATTTAAAAAAAAATTATTAATTCACACAAGCTTGTCCTAGAACTTCATGGTGGGAGATGGGAACAAGAAAGGAACAACAGGTCTACATACAGTCTGCATTTTTCAGTGACTGCTTCTTTTTGGAAGGCTTGGAGATGACTTTTATCCGCTTGCTGAGGAACACACCAATGTCATCACTGTTGCCATAGAACATCTTTACAGATAACATGAAGTGTTTTCTCTTGTCTGAATCAGATATGTACAAGGTTTTGGCTGTGCAATAGCTCTGAGAAAGAAAAGAAACATTTTCATTGCACCAACACCTTGCCAGCTAAATACTTAACAGCTCACAAGGACCTTGACAGTGCCTAAATGAAATAATTCCACTGGATGATCAATAAAAGCAACAGCAAAATCACCAACTGTAAAAATGACGAAAACTGATCTCTGAAAAGAAAGCGTAAAACATTAATTATCAAGTCTACGAAATACAAATACTGTGTTCCATTTGACCCTCTTCAAAAACACAGTTTTGAAAGTTTTTTTCCTGTTTTATGGTACTGTATAATTATCACTATAATTTGGGCAGAAAAAGCAATGACTCATTTTGTAAACAATTCAAACAGAACTACATTAAAAAGGTTTAACAATGGTGCTTCTAAATGTTCTAATATTTGCTTTTCTTTACATAGCTAAGCGCTAGAGTAACCACTTAAAAAAACTAAGAAAGAAGGCTACATTAACTGGGTTGACGGATTCGCCATGTATACATTCCAGGCCTCTTTTCACTGCGCCCAAGAGGACCATTCATACAATATCTCAAACAGAAGTGTATTTCAAAAAACAGGCAAGGCGTTAAATCAGCTTACCAGAATACAACATCTGGTAACTAAAAGTATTGCATTGGAAGCCAACACACTCACCAGACAGCAGGCACTGGTACACTTCTAATACCACTGCCACTACTCCAACAATACGTAACGACTTTAAATCTCTTTCTCTCAATTCCTGAACATCAGCAAGAGCCTAAATTACTGCTCTGGCTTTCCAGATATGATAGCTGAAGCTCCAATACACCAAAGTATCAAGAACATTTTTAAAAGATCAAAGTTGTGCTTTAGAGCTAGGCTAAACCAAGTTTTTTCAGCTACACTGTTTTTGTATTCTTTTTAAAAGGCAGAGCAAATGTTGCTCATTTAAGAAATGACTAACAAGTTCTATTTTATCTTGAAAATTTATTCACAGGCAGCACTTGTGGCAGACAAAAGTACTGCTAACAGTTAATTTCATTTCTCAATGGCAAAGTGACACTCGTATAAAGAAAATTTAAGTAACATGGATATGCTATACTCAGTTAAATTTTCATAGATTTAGTAAAGTATTGAGAGACTTTGCTCTACAGAAGACAAATCAGCATATAGCTAAGGAGAAAAACAGAGCAGTACATGGCAGGCAAACAGCTCCATTCACTCAAGACTTCCCAAGCCTTCAAGAGTCAACGGCTTTCCGGGAAGACTGTGCTTAAAGGCCCACCCTACTTTTACAATGAGTAACATCAAGAAGTCATGAATTGCTGTGCGCCCTATAATGATATGATCAAAATGGGATTCTGCATACTAAAGTAGATGTTGCAGGGAGCAAAAGCAAAATGTGCTTCTAAATGTGAAGAATTAAACTTGAAAGTTGAAAAAGGTTGAGATCACTTTTAGTACCACTACAAATGGATATGACTGATATTGGGAAAGAGTAAATACTGAAATCTAACAGTAAGTTCTACCAGCAAACACAAAAATAAGCAAACTGGCAGAGAGGTTGGATTATAAAACTTACACACGGGGATTTTATTTTGTTCACTGCCCCTTCCTCCCCAGCCCCCAGGGTTGTGGTACATTCGGGTTAAGCTGCCGCTTATAACACCAGCATCCCTCATCACGTGTTGGCCCGGACGGAGCTGCTCCAGCCAACTGGGAAGCCAACATACGAATGCAAGATCTCTTTACATCAATCTCTCTCTATTACTCTGCCTTTCAAGTTAGTTAAATAACAATGAAGTGAATTCCAAATTAGAGCATGTAGTGTTTTAGATGTTTAAAAATCTACGTGTTTATTTTTGTTTTACTCCCCTTTTATTTTTTTCTCAAAATGCTTTTCTAGGATCTGAAATTCTAACTCAGCAATTTTAGATTTAATTTCATACTTACGAATGCTATGCCACTTACATTTAACGCGTTTCATTGCTTCAGCCTCTGTCACATGTATCTCATCCGAAACACTACTGCTCCTCGCATCTTCACACTTGCCCTCTGCACCCACCTCTCCGTGAGCTCCCAGTTCTGTTTGGCTAGGACTACTTGACATTGTTCCCCATGCCATTGTGGTTTATTCTGGTATTATTTTCTTGGTGATTTTCTCTTTTTTTTAATTTATGTAGTTTATTATTTTATGATACAGTTCCATGGGCTCTGGGATTCCCTCTCCCCCCCTTGATGTATTTATTTCTATTTGATAGAGAGAGGAGAGACAGCGACACATTCGATCACTGGATCACTCCCCAAAAGCAACAGCCACTGCTGAGTCAATCTGAAACCAGGAGGTAGGAAGTTCTCCCAGATCTACTTCAGGCCTTCCTCCATTGCTTTCCCAAGCCATACACAGGTAGCTGACCGGGAATGGAGCAGCCAGGACTCAAATCAGCACCAACATGAGATGCTGGCAATGCAGAAGGAAGATCACCTTGTTATAACACCATGTGGCCCCCAAAAGCGCGTAGTTTTTTTTTTTATGTACAGAAATTATGCCATAGATTAACCTTATGGCAATTAATAACAAAAAGAAAAAAATTACAGGAACATAAGCTAGGAATGACTCAAATTTCATTAAGAAAAAGAGAAAGGGCCTGGCATGGTAGCCTACTGGCTAAAGTCCTTGCCTTGCATGTGCCGGGATCTCGTACGGAATCCGGTTCCTCCTATGGGTGCCGGTTCATATCCTGGCCTGCTCCACTTCCCATCCAGCTTCCTGCTTGTGGCCTGGGAGGGCGGTGGAGCAAAGCCCAAAGCCTTGGGACCTTGCGCCCACATGGGAGACTGAGAAGAAGCTTCTGGCTTCAGATTGGCTCAGCTCAGCCACTGTGATCACTTGGGGAGTAAACCAGCAGATGGAAGATCTTTTTCTCAGTCTCTCCTTATCTCTGTAAAATCTGACTTTCCAAAAGTGAATAAATCTTAAAAAAAAAAAAAAAAGAAAGAAAAAGAAAAAAAGTCTTACTGACCCTTAGAAAATATTAAGGACTCAAAAAAAAAAAAAAATCACAAAACCCAAGCACATAAAAACGAAAATGTACTTTCTTTACCATACTAAAATGCTACATTAGCTAATGGCACTTTAGACAGAAGATGGCATATAATTAAACTGCTAGCAGCAACTAACATAAAGACAAATCTTTGAAGACAAGATCTTCACATGACACAAATATCTTCCTGAAATAAGAAATAACAAACCTAACTTTGCAAAAAATCTTAGTAAGAATATGCAATTTTTAAAACTACGAAAAATAGCAGTATGCTAATGAAGGAAGTAGTTCTTGTTGTAGAGTTTACCTAGATGTAACTATGAAAAAAGTTAAGAGAAAACATTTAATGAAGAAATTAAAAGAACTCTCATATCCAAAATATTACCATTCATAAAAAAACTACATTCAGGGCCCGGTGCAGTGGCGCAAGTGGTTAAGGTCCTTGCCTTGCACGCCCGGGATCCCATATGGGCGCCAGTTCTATCCCGGCAGCCCCACTTCCCTTCCAGCTCCCTGCCTGTGGCCCGGGAAAGCAGTCAAGGACCACCCAAAGCTTTGGGACCCTGCACCCACGTGGGAGACCTGGAAGAGGCTCCTGGCTTTGGATCGGCATAGCATCAGCCGTTGCGCTCACTCAGGGAGTGAATCATTGGACGGAAGATCTTCCTCTTTGTCCCTCCTCTCTATATATCTGCCTTTCCAATAAAAAAAAATAATAAAAAATAAATCTTTAAAAAAAACTATATTCATAAAAAAAACTATGGGTGGATTTAAAAGATTTTTTTTGCCGAAATTATCTTTAAGTTTTTCAAAAATAAACCAAAATGCCTTCATACAAATTACTTGAGTATAAGCCCTTTAAAAATTAAATGTTCTAAGTAAAGCAAAACCAACAAAAATTTTCAACAATGACTAATTAAATTATGTGTTCCATAAATCAGACTGCTGCAAAAAAATGTCCTTACACTAGCACAGTGTGAAGTGAGGCAGCTGGGAGCCAAGGGCTTCATGCGCCAACAGCACACACTGCCCAGGACAACCTGGCCAACCTGGACCCACATCACGTCCCTTCAGTTTGCTTGAGCAGACTCACTTTTGATCCTTTTCTTTTTTTCAGGGTTTACTTATTTATTTGAAAGTAGTCACAGAGAGGGAGGAGAGAGGGAAGAGGACAGTCAGATATCGTCAAATGTGCCGATTTACCCCTCAAATGGCCAGTAGAGGGTTGGGCCAAAGCACAGCCAAGAGCCAGGAACTTGATCCAGGTCTTGCAAGGGGCTGGCAGGAGCCCAGGCATCGTTTGCTGCTCTCCCAGGTGCACCTGCAGGAAACTGGGCCACATGTGGAGCAGCCAGTACTCAAACTGATGCCCCGCTGGGATGTGGGTGACACAGGTGGTGTCTCAGCCAGCTGTGCCACAGCTGTTTCCCTGTTCTTCGATCCTTAAGTTCTGTGCACAGGATTAGAATGCCTCTACAGAGTCTTAACCAGTCTTTCTCTAACAGCATTTTTTCATTAAAATCAAAAATTATGGCTTACTGATATTGTACTTCCTGACATTGTACTGCCCTGTTAGTAAATGTTTTAAGTATGATTTAAATGCTCAAGAACTCAAGTGCTCTCTTCCCCTCTGAGTTCCTCTGCCTTGGGGAAAGAGTACAGAGGTGGGAGACCGCAGCACCTGCCTGCCGAGGCAGCCCAAGGGGACAGAACCTGTACACGCACTGCTCGGCCGTGGGCCAGGGCCAGGCGGCAGTGAGACGACCACTGCTTGACAGTTTGGTAAACTAAGACTGTGCAGGCAGTGGGTGCTTACAGCCAGCAGTGAAGTCTGAGCAGAACACACATGCACCAGTGGCTAGAAGCCCTGCCGTCACTTCCCGTGTGATCCGCCCATTCACAGGCTGACTATCTGGACTTGCAGCTTGCAGGACTAAAGCCTCTGAGACTCCATTTAACAGGGAGATGAGGAAACAAAGCATCCAAGTACAGCCTCACCACTGAAACACATTCTTCATTTTAGCTCAGGGTCACAGTTCAGAAGTGGTTTATTGTTCTAGCTCCTTTTTTAAAAAAAAGATTTATTTATTTTTATTGGAAAAATCAGATATATATCAGAGAGATAGAGAGGAATATTTTCCATTGGATGATTCACTCCCCAAGTGGCCACAACGGCCGATGCTATGCCGATCTGAAGCCAGGAGCCAGGAGCTCTTCTGGGTCTCCCACGTGGGTGCAGGGTCCCAAGGCTTTGGCCCGTCCTCGACCGCTTTCCCAGGCCACAAGCAGGGAGCTGGATGGGAAGCGGGGCTGCCGGGATATGAACCGGTGCCCATATGGGATCCTAGTGTGTGCAAGGTAAGAAATTTAGCTGCTAGGCTACAGTGCCAGACCCTGTTCTAGTTCCTTTTAAGATAAAACAATTTTCATTTTAAAAAAATTTTCATTGTAGTAAGTTATTATCCCAAAACTAATTTAAAATCCACAGTGCAGTTCTGCCCCACACACAATGACAATAAGTAAATCCCAATCCTGGCCAATGGATCTGCATCACTCATCTAAGATTCAGAGCAACGAGACAGAGCAAAATATGACTAAGTGCTGTGTTTGAGTGATCACACAGAAGATGGGTATTAGCCTAAGTGTATTGTCGGCTTCCAACAGCAATCTGACTTACAGTCTGTCAGAGCTGCTGGCATGATGAGGAAGTCTACGGCAGCCACCTGCACATGTCACCAAGCCTGAGTTCCAGTAGTCATGACCAGGTCACCGCTACTGAGAGGCATCAACACATTCTTACCAAAAGTCAAAAAAACAACAACTGCAACAGCAAAAGCAAACCACCACAAACAATACGGAAGCACATCCTGGCACCACCTTGCCCTCATAGGCACTGGCAGGGCTTGCCTTACCTTTCCTTCCAAGTTCAGCTGCTGCATTTCTTGGTCACTATTTCCTATTCCAATAAATGCACAAGGTTGAGACTCTTGCTCAGAACAACCATCGCGTTCCATTTGCTCTTTTTTTTTCTTCCATCCACTGCCCATAAGATACACACATGGAGGAGGGCAAAAGAACCTAAAGATTGGGAAAGAGTGGGGAAATACGACAAAACACAAAGAAGTTTAATTCAAGAAACCCTCTCCTTCTCTTGACCACTAAACATAAAGCACATGCTGAAACCCAGTGAGTTACTGTCCTTATAATGTAAGCAATCATGTCCACAGAGAGAAATCAAAACATCACAAAGACTGCATTTATTTAATGAAATACTGGAGTTACACATCCACACTAGACACATTTTAACAACAGGATCTCCTCTGTAATTGTCACAAAGTTCACCATTCTGAACTACTGGAGTTCCAAGAAATGCAATGTTCTCTAACATGTTACAAAACAGTCAGGGTAGCCCACCACAGAGTCTGCAACTACTAAGTAAGGTTTGCTTAAAATGATGATTATTCATTAATGGCATCACTACTGTAGACACATGTAACTTTACTTGGCAATTCATGTAGAAATAACTTTGTAGCAGTACTCCAAGTAGAAATTTTTAAATATTAGCATAAACCTCAGAGTCAAAAGCAAGCTAAACAGGATAACAAGCTCTGCAAGAGTACTACTGTCTTTTCTGGGTCTTACACCTTGTCCCTGGCGCACAGCACAAGGCACAAATATCTCAACTATTTTATTGTATTTTTAGAATTATTATCTGAAAATCCCAATGAATACAGTATCTAGAAAATAAAACCAGGAGTATAAAAGGAGGCTTATACCCAGATGTAGTTCTTTCCTTTCTTAAAACAAACACTAGTTATAATACCAACTTTTTGTATAGTTGTCAATATAGGAAATTATTTAATTTACAGTAAGAAAGCAAGCACTCAATTTTAGTGATTATCAGTTGTTGGTGCATGCCTCTAACAATAGCAAAAACTATTTAGAGAGGCAAATCTGCCAGTATATACCCACACACACATTGCTGAAATGCAAGCGTGTGGGCCCAGTGTGGGTCACTTCCTCCAATTGTTCAATGGACACGTGAAGTCAAACGGTAGATGTAATTCTGAGCTTATTATCTTGGCCATAATCCATGCCTATTTCAACCTGTGGGTCACTGTTGATGGACTAAAAGGAGATTGTTCATGTGTGTATGTGGATGTGTGCACACAGGCACACACTTGCTAAGCCACAGCCATATGGCTATCTACGGCAGATGCACTCTGCAGAGGGAAGAAACACATGGCTCAGAGGCAGGAAGGACAACAGCCAATAGTGCAGCGACAGTAACAGCAGTTGCAGGAATAGAGTCCATAGGAGTCAGAACCCGAGGAACATACAACTAGGAAAGGTCAGCCCTGGGGATCAAGCTGAACGAACGAAGTCCCGGTAGCGCTCCCAGGTCTATCTGGAACAACAGCAAAGCAACAGAGCTGCCTTCATGCCCACACACTTCTGCAGAGGCCATGGATATAAAAGTCACAGCCAAGGTAGTGGGCCCTGCTCCAGGTCCCTCCACATTTGGACGGATGCCTAGATGAGCTGGGCTGGTTTTGGAGCTGATTCAGTTCCAGTCTAGCGTGTGGCACTGGGAGATGTCCAACACTTATGATGGCACAGACTCAACTACCTAGCTTGGCACACTTTCAGCAAGTTGTGAAGGCCATCCATTTTGGAAACATGCCTCCTGTTAGTATTTTATTGAACACTGATGGTAAGTCAATGATCTGCCAGCTATCAAACCCAAAGAGTGTGCTCTGGTGTTGCATAATAAATGCAGTAGTCTGAGCTGAACGGTTTTCATAAAAGACACTTATGGTGTCATACAGAGGGTTAAATGGTAACAGTGTGGGAGGGGCTGGCTTTTCAGGTGTGCTGTGACAGGTTGGTTAGCAAGCCATCACTCAGAGCGCTGACCGGAGCTCTCCCCTGAAAGTGGTTTCCAACTCTGCAGTAAAGCTAACAAATGAAGACCTCTGACTTGCGTTGGAAAGAGCCCTGGGCTTTGATATCAACTCCACAACCACTTAAAAAGACCAAAGATGCAAGAAGCCAGCCAGTCCGACACAATGCAAGCTGGGATTGTTCTCGTAGCTGATGAGGCACACATATCTAAGATTCTAATATTGCTATACCACCCTCTAAAAAAAGTGAATCAAACTTTCATCTCCTCAGATGACAATAATAATAATAACATACAAGATAAATGCATATATGCAAAGAAAGGAAAGAATACAGAAAAAAGGAAATTAAATGGAGTGTTACTAGCCATAAAAGGCCATTTAATTAACAGAAGAAATATCTGAATGTATTCTTATAATGGCTACTTAAAATTAATGACTTTTTGAAACTGGACAGTTGACCAACATGCATCAAACACTCATTAAATGCTGAACCAGTAGGTGATTAGCTTACAGAGCCTGACATCTGTTGTGAAAAAATCTCTAAGTAAACAATGTTCCCTTTCATTATCTAAGCAACTACGACAACCAATGTATTTTTCTGCCACTTGGTGGCGACATTCACACATTTAAGATTTTATTCATGTTAGAGTTGAAACAATCGGTCTTTATTCTCAAAGAACCCAACAACTTTTCCCTCCTATCTTCAGATGAGGTCTAGAAAAAGCCCTTAAAGATTGGAAGGTGGTTTTTTATTCAGTCCAATACAAAAATAAGAGAAAAGCCAGGCTCGTGCTAAATTACATTATCTGATTACTTTGGCAGAACTGTTAACAAATTCAAGACCTTTTTTGTACACCAGTTATTTCAATTAACACAATTCTCAGAATGACTTTAGCATCGCTGTCTCACTAAATGGCTTTACTGTTAATTGTCTCAGTAACATCACTACCGCTACTGTTTAATTCCTTCCCTCAAGATAAAGTTCACTGTTATGTCAAATGGTTAACATTTCCTCCTTTTAAAAGAACAGTTTTTAAAAGAATCGTTTTAGAAGCTTCCCCCACACATACACCCGGGAAGATTTTCTAATGAAAATTTACAACTAGTCACTAATCTTAATGGCATACTAACGATGGCACAAAAGCTTATATCAAAAACAACTGAAAAACCTCCCGCAATCACGTATTTTTAGCACCATTCACTGGAGTCACTGCCAAGAGGACCGACTGTGGCTGTGTCCCCAGGTCACCTCAGCCTTTGTGCTTAAGCCAACCCTTCCAAAAGGCTGGGACCTAGATGCGAAGAAGCAGGCAGATCCTCTTCCCACCGCACGGGGCCTGCCAACAGCCAGGCCAGGAGCAGCCTGGCCAGGGCTCGCCGCGCACCCAGGGTCAGCCTAGCATTGGCACACCCTCACTGCCACCACCATTTTAACACCAAATTAATTTAACATTAACTGTAAATATACTGTAAATATTTAAATTGTTTACACACAAATTGTAAATATATTCTAAATTGTTTCTACATAAATTGTAAGTATATTGTAAATAATTGTAAAATATACCAATTTAGTTTGGACATTTTTAAGAGTACATAGAAGGTAAGCCTTTTCATCATTTTTTAAAGGCTTTGAAAAATTACATTCTTTGCCATTTTTTTTTTTAAAAACTTGGGTTAAAAAAGCATTAACAAGAAAACTCTAAGACCATTAAGAAAAACTACATCATAAAGCCTACAAATACACCAAAAAGATAAATAATAATCACTGAAAAGCCACTTTGTTGAAATTTCATTTTTGCCAACTGCTTTGCTGCACAGCACATTCCCACGTACCCACACTGCATGCTCTGAAGGGACAAGCCCCCGCTCTTCTGTTCTCAAAGGAAACAGACCCCGGAGAGGGGAGGCGTGCCAAGGGCTTGCCGCTCCTTACACCTGCTCCACAGGGACTGCAAGCTGCACTCAGGACAGTTTCAGCATCAGGCACCTGTTCGGCCTCTTCCTTTTTAAAACAGTATTTCATTTGGTTACCAAACTGTATCTTCTGTCGAATGGAAGGCTTCTTTCTGAAGGAGTCAACATGTCACAAAAAACTTAAGGAACATCATTAGCCCAAAAGAAAGCTGTGGATGATCTCATTTTGAAAAAGCAGGGATTTAGCCGAATGATCCTTAACCATATTCTTGCTGGAACAAGCAACAACTCTGCTTTTTCTCTTTGACAAATCCCCTGCTTCTCATTCTGTCCTAACAAATTAAGCCATTTTCTGACACAACTATTTACAGATCATTTGCAAATTCACATAATTACTATTAGCCATTCTTCAGGGAAAAAAAATAATAATCTTACCTTTTTTCATTTCCATATGACTTCTGTGCAACTTTTGCATGAAGAATAAGCACTGTTTGATCCCCTCGCTCTTTTAGATAGTTCCGCATAGCTTCCCTGAAAGCAAATATAAATATTACTATTGCAGAGATGAAAGTTTTCATGAAACCTTTTAAATTCTATGCTCTGTAAACAGTGCTTATGAATATTTCCTAAACAAATAAACCTAAATACAAAAGAAAGAAACAGAAAATTCACGATTTGAATTTAAAGAACACAATACAATGGGAGAATAAAGACTGGTTATCTTCCATTCTGTTTTTTGTTTGTTTGTTTTTGTTTTTGTTTTGTCTTTTAAAGATGAAACTGACCCTCAGTCTCTGGAACTTGTGATTTAACGCAGAATCAACACATCTGCTAACAGGGCTTTAAACTCGTTATAAAGTCGATGACATGCAATACTCCTGCAGTTTCAGAATCTAAACCCTCACCAGGAGCCGGCACTCAACTATTAAAATCAGTGTTCTTCACTAAACACAAATGTCCTAACAAATCATTAGACAGACTACTCAAATTTTTTTATCACATGATGCTAAAATGACAATGCTATAAGGGCTAAGAAAGGCCTATTGTTTAAATACAAACAACATCTGAATGATGTTACTGAATATATAAAATAAAGGCTAATTAAAATCAATGGAAATCTGAATTAAGGATAAAGATAATGCTAATTCTTGCAATTATAAATGACAATGCATTAGGCAAGTATCCCATAAAATTCAGTATCTTAAAAATATTTGCTCACCCAATTACCTTGCTGTATTATAGGATAAGGTAAACAACCTTGAAGGAGACAAAACTATAGCAATTTTTAATCACCAGAATTCCAACTCTTGACATGTTTTATATATCAGAAATTTAAGCAATAATACTTAAAGCACTACCATCAAGAAAAAATTTACTAAATTGCATGCTATTATAAAAGTTTAAGGACACCTCTATAATACTAATAAGTCACTAAATATGAAGAAGCATGGATTTATGACAATAACACCAAGCGGCCTAGAGCAATTCATTTCCCCTTATCTGATCTGCTGTCCCACCTCGAAATCGAGGATGAGGATAATACACAACAGAGTACTCTGAGGACTGAATGAGATTCTAGGTGCCAGCCTTTATCTCTATCAACAAAAAGAAAACAAAAAAAGCCTGTCCACAGCAGCAGGCAGGTGACACCAAAATCTAAGCAGACTGAGGACTAACTTGCACCCAAACTGGAACACAATGCAACGATCTAAATAATGATCCAAAGGGGCACAAAGGAAAAACACCAGTAAGGCATGATCAGCTATGCAAAGGGTGGGGACAGCACAGGACTGCATGCTGGGAGTTTCATACAAAACAGCTGAATCTTGAAGAATGCTCAACAGACACAGGAAGCGGGAGGAATTAAAAACAAGGTATTCCAGGACCTGGGAATTGCACACCACAGCAAGCAATGTGGGCTGTGGGCCAAGGCAGCCACAACAAGAAAACCTCCCCAGCTGATGTCTCTGAGCATTCACTACGTGTCAGGACCCAACGTAAGCACATTAAGTGCATCGTTTCATGTCACTCTCATAACCCTAAAAGGCGAGTACTGTGAATACTTGCTACTGCCTTGCCCAAGGTCTTGCGGTAAGTGGCAGTCAGGAACTGAAACAAACATGTCAAGATTCTGAAGTGAGCCACTGCAGTGAAGAAGGAAGCTTCTGTGGACAAGGCAAATGACCCAGGAACTGTGTTAAAGGGCCAGCTAGATACTACAGAATCTGTAAACAATGGGGGCTGCCTGCGGCTAACAGCCCACCAGTAGGAACCGGGAATACACGGTCACCCACTGCAGATGACGCCCAACAGATGTGGCTAAGTCAGGAGACCCACCGGACTTCAGGGTGGGTAAGGAAACAAAAGCAACGCCAGGAGAATGCCAGGATCTGACACAACTGGCACAAAAGGCCCCAGCATGTCGTGTAGCAATTACTTGATTAAATATTTATTACCCTTCACGAGTATTTTTCTCTTCTTCCCAGGCTACAAAGACTTTCAGGCCAGGGTTCTGTGCTATGTTTCCATCCCTTCCTTGACAGTATGCACAGAGCAGCACAAGCAGCTGCCAACCGGTAATACCGAAGGTCTCAATCCTTCCCTCGGAGTAAGCTGTTAATTCTAATCACTAAAACAGCTAAAACCAGTCAGCCACTGTGCCAGTACAGTTCTACACATGTACTAACAGAACCAACATCTACGAGGGTGACGCGCTACCAGCTCTAACTCACAAGGGAGGGACGGGTTAAACAAGTCTCCCAAGACAACACTCAGTCACTCAACATTCAACCCTTAGGTCAGCTCTCTCTCTAGACAGACGCTTTGCAGCGGTCAAGAGAACAGCCTGGGTGTGAAACCAACCAAGGTGTCTCACTCACTTACTAACCCTACTTTTCTCACTTGTGAAATAAAGCCAGGAGTTATCTCCTGCTGTGACAGCAACTGAAAGTCAGCTGACCCCACAAACCAACACACAGCCACTGTCACCTCGGTGAACTTCAGTCACTTTTGTTCTTTAGAAGGACTCCAATTCCCTTAATGACTACGCAGGGGTTGGGGAAGGAGAGGGGATTCCACTGAAGCTTGGGGAGCAACCTGAGAAAGACCTGGGGCCAAAAGACCAGCACAGGTTTGGCAAGAGTCCCAGGAAAGTGGAACACCTAACCATCCCTCCCCTTGCAGCTCACGGGACACCCACTATATCCGGCTACCACTGCTATGCTAGTTTCCCATACTGGAGGGTTATCAAGACCTTTCTGACAGACAAACGGACGGCTGGCTCCAGTTTCCCCAGTCCTGTCATATTCAGACAAACATTCCTGTGAAAGGAACTAGAGCCTCGGGGCAATAGCTAGTATTAGTTTATCCTGTGACAATACTTTGCCAAGTAGCTTCTTTCAACAGGAAAAAATCAACAAAAATTGTGTTCTTGGGCAATTAAAGTTTAATCATCTACTTTCTGTATCTTAAGGAGTCATTCTCTAATTCAATACAAGTAAATCCACAGACTGCAAACCCGCATGCTCTAGACCCACACAGAGCAGGGTCTCTATCTTAGAACTAGCCACACACAGAGCAGGCTGAGCCTTCACCATCAGGAACTGGCCAGTGTGTGAGGATGTTCAGCAGAGTCCAATTCTGCTACCTAACAGACGCCAGTAGCACGCTGCTTCAAAACATGTCAACCAGAGGGGGCTGGGAGCCACCTGGGCTGAAATCACTAGCGTAAACCAGAGACAACACTGATGTAAGTCTTATTACAGCCTATTATTATAGATGTTTTATTTTACTATTAGTTACTGCTACTACTTTTACTGTGCCTGATTACAAATCAAACTGTACCTACGTAGGTATGTGCATACACACATGCTTCGGTACTCTCTGTAGGCACCCATGGCATGCCCTGCACAGGAGCCCCACAGCGAAAGGGGAACATTTACTGACCCGGGTAGACAATTGAAAAGTGAATGTGCAAAACACTCCGGATGGTCTAGGCATTTTAGTCAATTAAGTCTATCTTGGATGTTGGGTTCAATTTTTTTTTAATAAAGCTGAGCATTCAGAAATCACAGGTGAACTTGGTGCACTTCCACCTCATGGGGCTACCTACCAACAGACAGCCCCCAGCCTTCCCCTGCAACCCCGCCCTGCTGGCTGACAGCTCCCCCCCTTACACTCCCCTCAGACAGCGCGTTGAGATCTGAGCTTCACAGCACTTACAATTGACAATGCCTCTCTTCAAGAGGTCTTACCAAAACCAGACACAGGAGCAGCCTTTTCAGTGCCTGACTGCCCTGAGTCTTAAACATCATCACGGCAGGTATCTGCATGCAGCTTCCCAGCCAGGAGCCCACAATAAGAGCTTGTTCTCCCAGGGAGAACTACTTCTTACCCTAGGGCTTGCTTTGAAAGTAACAATGCAGCAGTGGTACCAGCAGGAAGCCAGCCTGAGGCCAGAGACAAACAGGCAGCTGGTGTCCTCAGAGGTGATCAGGCCCACTTGCTACGGGACAGTAGCCTGCAAAGTCCATTTCATGTCCCATCTCTTTATGACAGAAATAAAAATGATCCTTAACTCCATATATGCTTTTGCTAGAAGGGCCAGTACTGGAACTTGAGTAAAGCCGCCACCTGTGGTGCTGGCATTCCATATGAGTGCCAGCTGCTCCACTTCCCATCCTGCTCCCTACTTGTGGCCTGGGAAAGCAGCAGAGAATGACCAAAAGCCTTGGGACCCTGCACCCCCATAATAGACCTAGGAGCTCCTGACACCTGGCTTCAGACTGACCCAGTTCTGACCTTTGTGGCCACCTGCAGAGCAAACCAAAAAATCCAAGATCTGCCTCTCTGTGCTGTCCCTCACTCTGTCATTCTTTCAAATAAATAAATAGATCTTAAAAAAAATTTTTTTGACAAACACATCGGTATACTAGCTCAAATCCTGTCACACAGCAATGAGACAAATTTTCCCCTCTCAAATGGCCACAGACCATCATCACATTATGAACATGACCCAAATACTCTGTGCTTCATTTTAAAAGATTTTAGAAATAAACCATTTCAATGTTTTAAGTCCTTATACTATAGGAAATATTGGGGACAGAAGGAATCCGAGAGGCCGTTTCTTAAAATTCATGTAAGGGTTCCCTCAACAATAAGCCAAGAGAATTTCAGAAACTGTTTATTTCTATTGGTTCTTAAAAGATTTGTTTTCATGTGAAAATAAAGTTAACAGAGAGAAGAGACAGAGATCTTCCATCTGCTGGTTCATTCTCCAAATGCTGGGATCCAGACGCTTCTTCCAGTCTCCCATAAGGATGGATGCAGGAGTCTCAGCTTTCCCAGGCACATTATTTACAGAACACTCAGATCTAGAATTGGTGCCCACATGGGACGCTGGCACTGCAAGCAGAGGCTTAAGGTAATACATCATGGTGCTGGCCCCTATCTCTACTAATTGTGACCAGTGCAGTTGATCACATATATACAAGCAGCAGCAGAACAGTGAGAGGAATAGGAGATGGGCTTTAAAATAGTTTTAGTCCAGGACAAGAATGTGGCAGAGCATCCTCTGCATACCATACTGCAGTGCCTGGGTATGAGTCTGTCTTTGCTTTTACTGTGCACCCTGGGAGGCGGCAGTGGGAGTTCAAGTATTGGGTGCTTTCTACCCACTTGGGAGACCCAGATGCCTGGCTTTAGCCCAGCCAATCCATTCTCTCTCCCTTTGAAATAAACAAAAGTTTTCAACGGTAGGGGATGGGATGGGGGTTCTGAAAAACTATTGATCAAATAAAAAGCTATGAAATGAAGCTTTTTTTTTTTTAAAGAGAAGTAGGAAAACAACTGTGAGGTTGAAACCTAAATTTCAGTATGAAAAGGAAAAAACATGTCCTGAGTTTCAAATCTGTGCATTAATAGATTTTTACGAAATAACTGGCCATCGCTTTTCTATTAACTATACGAACTGTTGCTGTTAAATCTGCGCGAGCTCTCATCTCTTCAAGGCTGTGTTTTGGCTACTTAAGATTTTGCATTTCCATGTAATTCTAGTAGCACTTTGTCAATAGCTACAAGAAAGCCTATTGAGATATTGCTTGAGACTGTATTGGAGCTATGGGTCAATTCTGGAAGAACTGACATCTTAACAATATTGCCTTGTTAGAAGAAAATTTTCTTACAATTTCAGGTTCCCTCAGCAATGTGTGGTTTTCACTAAAAGTTTTGTAGTCTCTTTTCAGATTTTCCTTTAAGAGTTACATATTTTTAGTATTACTGTAAAATACCACTTTCAAATTTAGTTTCCTATTATTCACTGCTAGAACATGGAAATACAATGTAATCTTATGCTTAGCATGTATCCTACTATCTTGCTAATAAACATGGTAGTTCTCAGAGCTTTTCAAGGACCCAACAAAATTTTCTATTTAGAGATGTTTACAATATTCGGAAATAAAGATAGTTGTAATTTCATTCCAATCTGAATCTCTTTAATTTTTCAGGACTTACTACACTAATTAGAACCCCAAGTATAACCCCGGCCTGATGCTGTTCCCACTGTTCCAGGATAAGCACTCAGCGTTTAGCCACTAAGAACAGTCATAAATGACAAAAGGCGTCTAGCACGTAGGTAACCTTTATCCCAATGAGGAAATTCCTTCTCATTTCTATTTCACTGAAAACTTTTACAAAGACTGAATGTCAAAGCTTTTCTAAATCCTTTGAGATGATTTTTGATCTTCCTTATTGTTCTACTAATATACTGAATTACACTACTTCCCATTCATCAGATAAATCTCAACTGGCCATAATGTATTGTTGCTTTAATATACTTTTGGATTTTATCAGAATTTGCTAAGATTTCTTGGGATTTTTGTTCACAAAGGACACTATTCTGTAGCTTCATTTTCTTATGATGTCTTTGCTTCTGAATGTAGGCTGAACACTGAACACTGGGGCTGGCACAATGGTTCAACTAGCTAATTCTCTACCTACCAGAACCAGCATCCCATATGGGCACCAGTTCATGTCCCGGCTGCTCCACTTCCCTTCCAGCTCCCTGCTTGTGCCCTGGGAAAGCAGTCGAGGGTGGCTCAAAACTCCCTGGGTGGAGACCAAGAAGAAGTTCCTGGCTCCTGGCTTCAGATAGGCTCAGCTCTAGCCATTGCAGCTACTTGTGGAGCAAACCAAAGGATGGAAGATCTTTCTCTCTGTTTCTCCTTCTCTATAAATCTGACTTTTCCCCCAAATAAATACATCTTTAAAAAAAGGAGTGGGGGAAAGAAATGACACGGGGTACTGCTGTCCTGACAGAATGAGCTGGGCTGGCCTGTTCTCTAATTATCTCTTGAGGATATACAGAACTGGCATTATTTTTTCTTAAACCTGTGGTAGAACTGGACATTGATGCCATCTGGTTCAATTTCCTACATCAGCAGGTTTATGATTACAAATTCAACTTATTTACCTAAAGGGTGACTCAGGTTATCTGCTGTTTCTTGAAGCTCAACATTCACTTATCTTTCAATCACATTAAGAACCTGCAGCGATGTCACTTTTCTTGTTGTTGACATGGTAGTAATTACACAGAATCTGTTTTCTACCAGGTATGATAGTCCTACTGACCAAAGAAATGGTTCAGCATCATGACTGTTTTTCATTAATTCCTGAAGTTTTAAAACATGTTCTGAGAGGTCTTAAATTGCCTTCGCTAGGTACAGAATTCCAGGATAGGTGTTTTCCCTTTGAGCACATTACAACTATTGTTCCACCACCTAAGCCAAAGCCCGGATTCAGATTAGAAATCTGCTGTCACCTTTATCTTGGTTCTTATATACATAGTCTATCCTTTACCTCTGTTGTTTTTAAGACTTTATCAATGGTTTTGGTCAAGCTGATTATAACCTGTCTCACTGTCATTTTTGCACTTAAGGTTTCTTTGTCTTTTTCAGTGTCTTTGATTAGTGATTCTCCAAAAGGCACCACTCCTGGAGCCCTGGACTGCTCATTGCTGCCCAGGGCATGCATCACAGGAAGGTGGAATCCAGAGCTGGAGCCAGCACTTGGATACAAGATTTCAAATGGCAACTTAACTGCTGTGTCAAAGTTTATTTTGGTATAAAATTTTTCAACCCATGCAGATATTGTCAAAATCTACACTTCCTTTTATTCTTTTGAAGATTTATTTATTTGAAAGGCAAGAGAGAGTGTGAGGGAGAGACATTTTAGCCACATTCTCCGCTTGAATCACTTTCAAGACTAATATTTTTAAGTATCATCACTAATTAAAGTGTAACTGCATAATTAGAACACAGTATAATATTCATACTCATTAAAAACTGGTTAAACCTTGATATCATTACAGTTCTTTTCTAAAAGCATTCAATAAAAAAATTCACTAAACCTTTTAAGTCTTACACTCAACAAATTGTGATGAGATAAACAAAGCTAGATTTAGGAGACTGTATTGCTGCCCTTGATATACTCATTATATGCAAGATTAACGTTTAAGCTTAATTCCTGAAATGGCTTCCCTCTCGTATTGTTTTGGAGGACACAGGAAGTGGTGGTAGAAAGCATAAGAGTAAGTTAATGAGCTAGTCAGCAACACCTGAATGCTTTGTTCGGGACCACCCAACGTCTACCGAGGCAGGGGATGCATGCTCAGGAAGTGCTTGAGTGAGGGCTGACCAAGACAATGCTTACCTAGTGAGTCGCTTGGGTGGAGGTCGCTCACCAAATTTCCTAAAAAAGAAAAAGAGGAGTTAAGTAGACTGTGTGATAAACTCCACTGTGAGCTTTTACAGGCACTCCAAAATACCCTTCAGGACTTAAACTTCAACCTTACAGTCAGGTGTACTCAGAAATAACGAAACACCCACTTCAAAGTTCTTACACAACACGCTCTAAGGAGGCGGTCTCCCCTACTCTGCGCAAGGTCACAGATCAAATGAGGAAGGATAGTTTTATCTTTCAGACAGCTCACCAAAAACCCCCAACAGTGAAGGCCCCGTCTCTGCTCTCCCGGGCAAGAGGTGGAACAGTACTCAGAAGTGGTTTTATCCCCTGTGAGGTACTACACTCTTCCCATCCATTTCTCCTATTTACTAGTTACAAAGCAATTTCATAAGGTACATACTGACCCCATTTTAAAGATGTAAAAAGCAAACTGTCTCATGTCACAAACTGCAGATTCAGAGTACAGATTACCTTAAGTTCAAATCAATGACTCAGTATGTATTTGTACTGTAATCGTTAAGCTTTTTTTCCCCAGTTATTTTTTTTTTTAAAGATTTATTTTTATTATTTTTTCATTGGAAAGGCGGATATACAGAGAGGAGAGACAGAGAGGAAGATCTTCCGTCCGATGATTCACTCCCCAAGTGAGCGCAACGGGCCGATACTATGCCGATCCGAAGCCAGGAGCCTCTTCCGGGCCTCCCACACGGGTGCAGGGTCCCAAAGCTTTGGGCCGTCCTCGACTGCTTTCCCAGGCCACAGGCAGGGAGCTGGAAGGGAAGCGGGGCTGCCGGGATTAGAACCGGCGCCCATATGGGATCCCGGGCGTGCAAGGCGAGGACTTAACCACTTGCGCCACCACGCCGGGCCCTTTTTTCCCCAGTTATAAAAAGGACATAATGACATAAAGTACATCAAAAAGTATATGAAAAAAAAATGGAAATAAGACATGTATGCTCTGCAGTAGGCATGTAGTATAATATTTACGCTATTTGAGACATCTGCAACCAATATTTGGAGCGCCTGGTTCTACGAACTTTTTGAAGTGCCTCATCACATCGGTCACTCCGTTCTTTTTAGCAGTAAGAAGATGGTCAAGATAAACCAGGGTGCTGTACAAGCAGGGCCTTCTGAAGTTCATGGACAATGTATTGTTATTAGAGCAGTGATGTGGTGTAGAGGGTCAATCGGACTTAGGCTGCTTCACTTCTAATTCAGCTACCTATTAATTCACCTGGAGAAACAGCAAAGGTGAACCAGTGTCTTGGGGCCCAGAATGCATGTGGGAGAACCAGACAAAGCTCCTGGCTCTTGAGGCCATTTAGAGAAAGAACCAGCAAATCAAAGAGCTCACTATGTCTCTCCCTCACACTCTCTCTTGCCTTTCAAATAAATAAATCTTCAAAAGAATAAAAGGAAGTGTAGATTTTGACAATATCTGCATGGGTTGAAAAATTTTATACCAAAATAAACTTTGACACAGCAGTTAAGTTGCCATTTGAAATCTTGTATCCAAGTGCTGGCTCCAGCTCTGGATTCCACCTTCCTGTGATGCATGCCCTGGGCAGCAATGAGCAGTCCAGGGCTCCAGGAGTGGTGTTCCTGCTAGCCACGCCGGGAGGCCTGCACTGAGCTCCCGGCTCCTGGCTTTGGCTGGCCCAGCACAGCCTTCTCAGATAATTGGGTCTCTCTCTCTCCTCTCCCTTCCCCACCTTTCAAAATAAATTTAAGGATTTTAAGGAAAGCTACCCTATCTTTAATTTTTCATTTTTTTTCCCTTACAAATGCATTTATTGTATTTGGAAGGCAGAGTTAGAGAGACAGAGAGACAGACAGAGGAAGAGACTTATCTCCCATCTACTTGTCTATTCTCGAAATGCAAGGATGGCCAGTACTGGGCCAGTCTAAAGCCAGGAGCCAGAAGCCAGGAACCTTGCCCAGATCTCCCATGTGAGTGCAGGGGCTCCAGGTCCTGGATTGTCCTCCTCTGCTTTCCCAGGCCAGAGAGCTGGATTAGAAGCGGAACAGCTGGAACTCAACCGCACACCCTCTGGGATGCCAGTGTCACAGGTGGAGAATCAGTCCGCTATGCTACCATGCGAGCCTCTAATTTTTTACTTTTAAATGAACTTCTCAAAGCCCTCACACAGGTATCCTGTACTTCCCAAGAAGAATTTTCACCACTGACCTTATATACTCACACAACAAACAAGAAATAGCTACTGCTATTGATGATTCAATAAAATTCATGAAAACATTTACATTATGAAAACAAAACAGTACTTAACAGAACCACAGCATGGTACACTTGCCACCTGCTCAGAGATTGCTTAAAATGAACAGATGAGGCTGTCTCTCCCAGTACCAATTAGGACACAGAGAGATGGATAGGCAAGCACACTTTTACCTTTCCTTCCTACCTATTTTAAAAACATGATCACTAGGGCCTGGCATGGTAGCCTATGGCTAAAGTCCTTGCCTTGCACCCTGGCATCCCATATGGGCACCAGTGCATATCCCAGCACTTCCTACCCGGCTCCCTGCTTGTGGCATGGGAAAGTAGTCAAGGTTGGTACAAAGCCTTGGGCCCCTGCATCCACATGAGAGACCCAGAAGAAGCTCCTGGCTTCAGATTGGCTCAGCTCTGACTTTTGCGACCACTTGGAGAGTGAACCAGCAGATGAAGATCTTCCTCTCTGCCTCTCCTTTTCTCTCTGTATATCTGCCTTTCCAATAAAAAAAAAAAAATGAATAAATATGGCTTTTAAAAAATATGATCAGTTGCCAAATGAACAAGCGTATCTGCTGGATGTCCCCTCCCCCACCGCCAAAAAAAGAAAAACAAAGCCCAATATCACTCAACATGATCTGAGTTGAAAACTGACCTAGAAGTAAGCCAAACCAGTCAAGTTTACATAATGGATATTTCATAAACTTAATGCCAAAAAAGAAAAAAAACTTGTAAAAGACTATATCTTAAGTACCTTAGAAATCCTTTTAATTTCATAAAACAGTGAGTTAATTTTTCACTGTAATAAATAATCACTGTAATCCAAGTTCTCTTGACAATTAAATATCATCAATAGCTTAGCTGTATAAGATGTCAAATTTTCTGCATGCTACATAAATATTAATTTAAAAGTAACAATAATTTCTGGTAAATGTGCTAAAAGAAAATGTTAACAATTCTGGTTTGAAGAAACAACTGTTAGCCAAATGAGCTGGAGCATTTTACGGAATCGCACCCCCCTTCCCTACCTGCTCGGTGTTTGTTCCTCAGCCCGGCAGTGGGAATGCATCAAACTTGTGCTTGCCCACATTTCTGGCTTACTCATACTACTATGGCAAAGAAACATTTATATTCTTCAGTATGCAAATGAGAAGTATAATTTTAATCTAGCCTGTTTGACAGTAATTTCCCTTCTTGGATGACAATGATCTCACACTGCAATTAAGAAAAATTAGAAAAAAAAATGTTCACCTCTACAGTTAAATCTGATTTTATACCACCTAGAAACATGAGGACTTCTTCAAAGTTGCCATCTATCATCAGATATGTTTCCTACCTGTTAATAGTAGCGAGGCTCCCATATATCCTCTGATACTATGACTGTTCAAATAAGTTTCAAGTCTGCATACCTATTACACATACCAACTTCCCTTCTGATCCTCACAGAGGTGCAATGCTGTTCTATCCCATATCAGATACATTAGTCACCAATCTGCTAAGTACATGACCACAAATGTACAGAGAACAAACATGATAAAAGTTATCAAAACTGAAAAATCTTATCACCTTTTCTTGCTAAAAAAATGCTTCACTTGAAAAAAGTCAAAAACCAAAAGAGGAGGAAGACCACAATAGGGTATAGGTGTTATAGTAATTACACCACCATAAGACAACAGAAAAACAAAGCTACCAACACTATCGTCTGTCTAGCAAAGCACCAGAACTCCAATTTTCAAAACCAAGCTTAAAAATCAAATTTAATCATGCAGAAAATTCTTCTGTTATAACTAAAATGTCCTGCATTTCACAATTTTGTTTAATGAAGTGACAACAAAATTAATGAATGCAAGAAAAACTTGTGAGGCATATCTATAGAGAAGAATTAGAAAGACAACAATGAACCATCTGAACTCATAATTAAACCAAACTTTGCACCAAATCTGTAACAGTATGTAAATCTTACAGAGTTGAGAATAACTGAAATGAAGCAGCACCATACAGGCGTGTACTCCAACAGGAGCAAAGGAACCCAATTCAGCATCAGTATCATGTTAGTATCTGTACTGTATCTGCTGGCAACAGATGACACTGAAAGCAAAGCAACTGCTATGAAGGAGTTACAAAAACACAACATACTCATTAGAAAGACTACACAGAACATTCTCTCCTAATCTCCAGATTCTTTTTTCTTAACTAAGTATATATTTGAGAGTCCAGTATGGACCAAGTACAACATTTGGATAATATGTGGTTGAAGTAATAAAATTGTATCAATTTTAATTTCATTATTTTGGTAACTATACAGAGATTACACAGGGAAGAAATCTTTGCTTTTAGAAACCCTCACTGCAGTATGTAAGGAGAAAAAAATATTAGGTCTATATCTCAACCTCACATGATTCGGAGAAAAAAAGCCACTTCTGTGTGTGTGCATACATATGCATACACAAATACATTTTTAACAGCAATAATGTCCTTGTAGTAAACATTAATGTTTGACATATCTTGGTAGTATTTTATAAGCTTTTCTGTAAATCAAACAGAAAGGTCACAGCCAGCAAAGCATTCATCTCTTAATCAAAATGCTGACCTGACTCTGCCACAGAACCTGGTAGTGACAGCCTATCAAAAAGCACGCAGACAAGGGAGGTGACCTACAAGAGACTCCACAGCCAGCTCCCTGGAAGAGCTTCTAGGTTATTAAGACAATTACTTAAGAATTATTTGCTGTATTGAAAATTTGACAATACAAAAAAAGAAGCAGGACCTGTCACTC